AATAATTGCATTATGCCTAGGATGCATAAATGAAAACAGGCATCTGTACATATATAAATCTGTAAGCCCTGAGTCTTCCTGGCTGCCCTTGTGACTTGAACATGATGATGATGTCACGTGACACGTGTCATACATATCTGCCCAAGGAAAGCAAAGATATAAGACTTACTGTCAGTATAAAAAAATGACTCTATTGCTAGACCACACATTTTAAATCTCAGCCCTGCCACTGAATTACAGAAAAGACCTTGGACAAGCCACTTATTTGCTCTTTGCATTACCCTTCTAATTTAAATGAAGATAGTAACTATACATACCTGATAGTGTTGTAAAGATTAAGTGAATTTATATATATGCAAAACACTTTGAACAGTGACAGCATATAATAAATGCTATACAAATGTTTGCTGTTATTATTGCTATGTACAATTGTGAGAAATAAGAATAATAGTATATTTCTATTTTTAGAGAAAATCATCTGTAAATAGTTTGAGTAACAATCATTGTTTTGTGTAGATTGCTGACATGCAGGAACTTAGAATATCTTGTAACATCTCTAAAATTACTCAAAAAAGAGATTTATTCTAACTTTTAAAAGTCAGAGACCCCTCAAATTCAGCCTATAAACCACTTCATACCAAAAAATAGCATCTATAACATAAAAGTAACTGTATAAGAAACAGAAGCAATAAAACTGCTAGTATTATAAGAATAAACATGCACATAAACATGCACAAAACTCAGTAACAGGAGTAGGAAAAAATAATGACTATTTTTGAAATTAAAAATAAGTTTCAGTGTGTAAGAGGAAAACTATTCGTATCTTAAAAAAATTTCTAACAAAGTTCAACTAAAACTATTGCTTAGAATGCTGACTCCCGATCTTACACAAATCCCATTAGTTATGCTCCCCTCCCACACTGACTTGTATAATAAATAAGATGTTATAAAATGGTGGAGGGTGACTTCTGAGGCATAAAAAACATTGTATTACCATCATGCTTTCTTGAATCACTTCCTGTGGAGGAAGCTACTCGCCATATTGTAAAGACACTCAAGCAGCTCTTTGGAGAGGCCTCTTGCCAGTAGCCATGTGACTGAGTCACCTTATCAGTGGGTCTTCTAGCCTCAGGAAAACCTGGCTGACAGCTACAGTGTAACATATGAGAGACTGCATCTCAGCACCACCCTACATAGCTGCTCTCAAATTCCTGACCACAAAAACTATCAGATAATAAACGTTTATTAATTTTAAGCCACTAATTTCTGAGATACTTTTTCATATATCAATAGAGACTTACTAGATTACAAAAGAAATTCCATGAGTCATCCAATCTGAAATATCTGAAAAAAGCTTCTAGGTCAGATGGTAGAAGGTATATTTGCAAAACAAAAAGTAAATGACATGAGACACAGTCCTAAAGGAGACTTATCCAGGTCTCACGTTGAATAAGCACATGCAGTTTTGAACAGTTTTTTTATTATAAGACTTAAAATCTGAAGAAGTAAATGTTTGATCATTCCTAAATAAAAATGTTTTCATTCATGGAAATAATACTCAAATATATTTATCTAAATCATGGAAAGAGCCCAAATGTCCATCAACTGATGAATGGATAAAGAAGATATGGTTTATATATACAACTGAATACTACTTTGCAAAGAGAAAGAATAAAATCCTGCCATTTGCAACAATGTGGATGGAACTGGAGGGTATTATGTTAAGTGAAATATGCCAGTCAAGGAAAGACAGGTATCATATGTTTTCACTCATATGTGGAACTTGGGAAACTTAATAGAAGACCATGGGGGAAGGGAAGGGGAAAAACAGTTTCAAATAGAGAGGGAGGCAAATCCATAAGAGACTTTTAAATTCAGAGAAAAAACTGAGGTTTGATGTGGGACACAGGGAGAAGGAAAAATGGGTGATGGGCATTGAGGAGGGCATTTGTTAGGATGAGCACTGAGTGTTGTATGTAAGCAAGGAATCACGAGAATCTATCCCTGAAACCAAGAGCACGCTGTATATTAGCCAACTTGACGATAAATTATATTAAAATATATTTATTTTATTTATTTATCTAAAAGAACTGGAGCATGCAAGACTATTTCACAAACTTCTACATCAATACAATTGGCTCTATATACCATTCTAAGTATTACCCCCAATTAATTGTTATTTCTCCTTAAATTTTAAGATTGTAAGAAGAGTATCTGAGGTTAGTTTTTTTTTTTTTTAAATGATAGGACACTATGACTTGTAAGCCATCATTAAATAATACCAAAATTAGTCATGTAACAGCATGACACTGGAAAGGGATACTAGAATCCCTATAGGCAGTTTTCCCACCTCCATGTATAAAGATTTATCCAATATTAACACTGAGACATACAATTAACAGATTTAATATCTTAATTAAAAATAAAAGCGAAGCTAGGCATGCATGGATGGCTCAGTCAGTTAAGCATCAGACTTCAGCTTGGGTCATGATCTCACAGTTCTTGAGTTTGAGCCCCACATCCACCTTGGTGCTTGATAGCTCAGAGCCTGGAGTCCGCTTCAGATTTCTGTGTCTCCCTCTCTCTCTCTGCCTCTCTACTGCTCATGCTTTCTCCTCTCTCTCTCTCTCTCTCTCTCTCTCCAAGAATAAATAAACATTAAGAAAATGTAATAAATAAATAAATAAATAAATAAATAAATAAATGCAAGTCTAAAATCTAGGAAGGGAGGACAAAATTTTAACCTTGTATATCTTTGCTTTCAAAGTTCTCTTTAAAATTTACAGTTGTGGGGTCACCAAACTGAGGCTTTCAACAAAAAGCAAGAAAAAAATTATCTTAAACACAAAGTAAAAGCTCGTTTGTTATACAGACTGGGGGGTGAGTCCTTGATTTTTTTAATAAAATAAGTTTCTCTGGACCCATTTCTGAATGATTCTTGGTTCTTTTCATCTATTCTTAGGAAATTTATTTGTGGAAAATGTCATGAAACATGACATAGAAAGTTATCTCCATTAACAGAAGTACAGACTCAGGTGAACTTTATAGTGTATGTACACACACACACAATATATATATATATATATATATATATATACACACACACACAAATATTACGTATATATATAAAATACTTACAAACTTTTATTAAATTATGTGACTCTAACATACATTACGGGTTTCTGTCCAGATGAAGACGAGAAAGCAAGTAAGAGTGCCAGGAAAGAACTACAGAAGGTTGCCTCTTTCACAGCTACTTATTTAGTTATTTAGTTAATTATTTTGTTAGTTAAAATGTTTATTTATATTGAGAGAAAGAGAGACAGCATGAGGTGGGGAGGAGCAGAGAGAGAGAGGGAGACACAGAATCTGAAGTAGGCTCTAGGCTCTGAGCTGTCAGCAGAGCCCGATGTGGGCCTCAAACTCATGGACTGCGAGATCATGACCTCAGCCAAATCTGGATGCTCAACTGTCTGAGCCAGTCAGGCACCCCCACAGTTTTTGTTTTTTAATAACAATCCAATATTGCAAACGTGCACTGCAATTACAGACACCAATGTATACTGGGTAACCACAAAACATAACCCATGAGCATATGCTAATGTTCCTGCCTTTAGGAAATATGTTCCCCAGCAAGGCTCATGAGCTCAAACACTGGCATTTATTATTTTACACAGCACCTGAAGCGAACTCTAAGACCATGGCCTTTTCCCTAAGGAAATACAATGTGGGTACAAAGTGTATAAAAACAAGAGAATCAGTAAAGGTATGATGATGCGCTGTTAAATTAAGGAAAATGATTTATTGAAAAATAGGGTTGCTGGGTGGCTCAGTCGGTTGAGCATCCAACTTTGGCTCAGGTCATGATCTCACAGTCCATGGGTTTGAGCCCCGCGTTCGGCTCCGTGCTGACAATTCAGAGCTTGGAGCCTGCTTCCGATTCTGTGTGTCACTCTCTCTCTGCCCCTCCCCTGCTCATGATCTGTCTATCTCTGTCTCTCAAAAATAAATAAATGTTAAAAAAAATTTTTTTTAAAAAGCACAATGAGAAGGATGTAAAAGACTATAAACTACTGGGGGACAGGGCTACATATACCATTTCACATCACCCTCATGGAAGTCCCATGATGATTGGGGTGTTAATTTTATAATACATTTGTTCTCCCTACATGGATCATCGCAGAGAAATAATAACAAGTATATGTAGCATACCTACTCTTTGATGGAGTCTCACTGTGTGTATCATTTCAATAATAAAAACTTTTGCTCCCACCGTGGCACATTTCAAAATGTGTCAGCACGTGCATCTGTTCAAGCATTAGTGCCTATGAAGACATGCTTTTCATCTTTTAAAATTTTAAGAAAACTACTGAGGTCTCACAATAAAAAAATATGATATAAGTATCTTTTTACTTTAAAAAAATGGGTTACAGGGACACCTGGATGATTCAGTCAGTTAAGCGCCCAACTTCACTTAAGTCATGATCTTGCTGTTGGTGGGTTTGTGCCACACGTTGGGCTCTGTGCTGATAGCTCAGAGCCTGGAGCCTGCTTTGGATTCTGTATCTTCCTCTCCCTGTACCCCACACCCACTCTGTCTCTCTCTCTCAAAAATAAATAAACAGTAAAAAGGAAAAAAAGATGGGTTACAAAAAGCAACAATATAAAAAAAGACATAAAAAAATCTCTAAGAAAATTTGCAAATGCTATGTTACTTTCATTGTTACTAACATTTTCTAAAAGTTACAAGTTTTTATTTCATTCAGATTACCTGAAACAGAGACTTCATAGGTGTAAAGCTTTACAACCTTCATATATTTTGTTCATTTTAAAAGTACATTGCATTGAAAATCTAAAGATTCTTGATCCCATATCCAAAATCCAGTATCTGATTATATGAGTAAGCCATTTATAAAACTAAAAAATAAGTTTTAAAAAGTAAAAGGAAAAAAGATATTCTCAGAGATTAATTTCTGTAGTAGATTTTGGGCAATTCGTACCTCATCAGTGTTATAGATAATCTGGAGTCCTGAGGAAATCATTTCCACAAGGTAAAGGAGATAGAGTGATACTGTATTTATCTGAAAAACAATATTAAAAGGTTAAAGGAAATAACAAAAAGACTATGTTATGAAAGAGCTAAAATTACAAGTTATTTGCTCCATAGTGGCAAATAAAAACTATTTCCCTTCCTACTGTCAAATAAAGGAACTAAGTATTTAGTTCTTATTAAAATCCCAGCTTTGAATATAAAACTTTAAAATCCTGAAATTCCCTGTGATGGTTAAACCTGATTAGGGAAATGGCTGCAAATATAACTGTTAGCAACTATTTCTGTAACATTTGTTTTAAAAGATTTATTTTCAAATTCTGAGTCTAAAGTACCCTACTTTGAAGTGGTTTTGCCCCACAGGCAGCAATGTAATGTCAATTCATCTCAAATGTATGTAAATGAAAAAGTTATTTGGCAAGTAAGACATTAGGACTTTGCCAGTACACCATAAACAATAGGGAGCAAATTTTGAAAATAGTCTTATTTTCAGAGAATGTAGAATTGATATAAGCAACTGCAGGGACATATTAATTTTAATCAATGGTATAGCATAGAATTTAAAATATACTTATGAACAAATGAGTTTTATAAACAAAGGAGTTATTTCTTTCTTTTAGTTTGTCTATTAAAGATAGACATTACATGATAGGAAAAAAAAGACAATAATGTCCACTTCAACAAAAAAAGATTCTCACAAAAAGCCTGAATGGGATGTGTAAATTGTCTCAAGTAAATAAGTATTGAAAGATAAATACTACAACAAAGACAAACCTTGAAAATATGCTAAATGAAAGTCTATGTATTTAGGAGTATTTATAGAAATAGAAAGTAGACTGGTGATTACCTGGGGCAGGCGGCTTTTGGCAAGATGGGGAGTGACTGCTAATGAGCACAGATTTCTTTACGGGGTAATGAAAATATTCTGAAACTGACTATGATAGTGGTTGTACAACTCTGAATATTATAAAAACCACTGAATTGTACACTTTAAATAGGTGAATCATATGTTATATGAATTGTATCTTAATAAAGCTGTTGTATGATAAACACATACATAGGAGTCTAAAAACTTTTCATTTAGCTAGGAAAATGATTAGTTAAAATAAAGAGAAAGCACAATGTAATTCTGTCCTTGTGTGATTCTAACCCAGAAGATTATTACCCTCCCACAGCCTTGGTGGGTTAAGCTTTCCTTGACTCTCCTCCAATCCTCCAAGGAACTGACGGAAAGCTGGGGCAGAAAATTATTCATGTCCGAGAGGCCTTGAACAAAGCAGCCCTGTGCTATCAGGTGTGTTGGGTATTTTTGCCCAATTATCTTTGCCTTAGACATCTTTGTCACAGCATTTCATTGCAAACATTTTCAGTGCATAGATTTTCTCCACATAACTAAATGGCCATGAGGCATTTGGCCATAAAAGTTTAAAATATAACTGGTTGACAGTTTGATTCAATAGTTTGGTTTTACTTCTCCATTGATGTGAAACTCCCATTTTTACATTATATAAATCTTATATTTTCATAATCATCTCTTTGTATTCCATACTTTTTATATTATATAAAACTTAGCCCTCATAATGGTCTAAGTAATGATGCAGAGTTTTGAACCCACCTTTCCCAGAAAACCATCAAATGTCTATGAATAGACATGTGACAGGATGCCAAGAACAAACAACAGGGTAGATGGCTTTCACAATGCAATGCAAAGCTCAGTTACAAATATGCATCCTAGTAATTGGAAACTGATATCCCTCTCAACGAAGGAAGAAATTAGTGAAAAATGAAAAAATGTAATGCCAAATAGGAGACAATCGACAAATAAGAAAGATGTATTAACTCTAAACCAAAGATTTTGAAAACAAATGCTCAAGTATGTCCTAAAAAATAAAATCAGTTATTTGGACAATGTTGCCATGAACGTATATATATTTTAAATATATTTAGTGTTTGGTATTTCACAACAAAGACTTTTTAATTTTGTCATTCATTTTTAAGGTTATATTATGTCCTGAGGCACCTGGGTGGCTCAGTTGGTTGACTTTCCGACTTCGGCTCAGGTTATGATCTCACAGTCAGTGGGTTTGAGTCCCACATTGGGTTCTGTGCTGATAGCTCAGAGCCTGGAGTCTGGTTCCGATTCTGTGTTTCCCTCTCTCTCTGACTCTCCCCCACTCGCTCTCTGTCTCTGTCTCTCAAAATAAAATAAAGACAAAAAAATTTTTTTAAGAAGGTTATACTATGTTCTTTTTAATGGCCCTAAGTTTTGTGATTTTATCTTTCAAAGTAAAATTGCCTTACAGCCAATTAGTTATGTGATGAAAATACATGCAGCGAAAATTCTTGCAGCAAAGATGCTCACTGAAACTATCTAAAATCACCACCAGGGCCTGGGAGACCTGGTGGCTCTCTCAGGAAGCAGAGCTGTCCTAGATGTCTCCTGACTTCTCGGCATTCAAAGTCCTATAGGTGTAAGGGTCTTGTCAAGGTCCAAGTAAACCAGAAAGATACAAGATTCTGGGTTTAGGTTTTTTACACTGACATAAACTTTTCAGTGACCCTTCTCAGAACATGGTAGAAAAGAGCTTTTAACCACTGCCAGGTTCAACCAAATATTTTCTTATATGTAAGCACTGATACTGGCCTATTAGAAATTACTTCAAGGAAATTTCATCACTATGGACAGTCATTTACAACTACACTTCCAAGAGCTCTTTGCTCTCATTTCTGGGATGCTTATGTGAGAAAATATCATCAAGTGGCAAACTGTACAGGAACAGCCAGATAACAGGTTGACCAGCATTTATTTAAAATCTACTATGAGCCAGGCACTAAGCTTAAATTATGGGATACAAAAATAAATGAGCCATTATCTTCTGGAAATTCTATTTCAAACAGTAAACATATTTGTCGAAGCAAAAGGTACACAAAACCTAATTATGTTATAATTATAAGGAGAAGGATGAACAACTACATATTCATATAATACTAATTCCCCAAGGAATTGGTTACAAGTAAGTATAAGAGTTTCTGCCGCATAGAAATGGGGACACTGGGCTTTCTATGTCTAGAGGAGTCATTCTAAAGTAAGACATTTCATATCTCTAGAGAGAGGGACTATAAAAAGGACATACTCTTATTTTAGTAAGGAATATATGAATAATAAGTATCCTGTCCTAAAGACAGCAGAACCAAATGATGAGCAGGAAGAAAACCCATTAAAGATAAATAGCATATATAATATGTGTATCTGAAAAACAAGGCAACAGGGTGTCCAGCGAAAAGCAGTACACAGATATAAGAGAAAAATAAGTGAAAATAAAACATAAAATCCTGTAGTGCATGGTTAACTTAGGTATAAAATTTAATATAATATATAAGACAAAATTTATAGAATCCAGAAATGCCTTTTGGAATTACATTTTAGTGGTAAGTTTATAGCTTTGTTGAAGGTTGATATATCAAAAATAAGCTGTCATGTAACAAAAATTTCTGATTTACTGTTACATCACTGTCAACTGTCTTTTATTCCCTAGTTCCTGTATGTTGAAATTCTTCTAAATTTGATAAGTACGAGCTTTTGTCATGGAAAGAACTGTAAGAGTCCTTTTTTAAGACAGTAATAATACTATAAACCATTCAGTTGCCCTTTTTTGCTTGTAGACCAAGACCTCAGTTGACTTAATGCTCAATCACAATGACTAACTCAGCACTGGTGGTTACCATTTCACTTCTCCATTTTATGGTTGGTTTTCTATTTCTATTTTAAACAATTTAAGAAATCTATTTAATGAAATTTGTAAATAGCCTCAAATCTACAACCTAGAGTGTACATAGAGAAGAAAATCAGCAATCTCCTTTTACCTGAAGATGGCCGTATTCCTCATGGGAGAGGATCTCATCTCCTGTATGCACATTGAAAACAGAGTGAAGACAGGTTGCTGGGCGTGGGTCCTGCTTAAACTGCTGGACCTAGAATCAAACACAAAATTTAAATAGTACTCGTAACTCACAGCTTTAGAGGTTATTAACTATTTTACATGAAACTTTTTTTTTTTTAATGTTTTTATTTATTTCTAGGAGAGAGAGAGAGAGACAGCGTGAGCAGGGGAGGGTCAGAGAGAGAGGCTGAAACAGGCTCCAGGCTCTGAGCTGGCAGTCAGCACAGAGCCCAACGCGGGGCTCGAACCCACGAACCGCGAGATCATGACCTAAGCGAAAGTCGGACGCTCAACCGACTAAGCCACCCAGGCGCCCCTCCATGAAACTTTTTAATGAGGAAAGCTACAGCCTAAAGGCAGAGGACAGAGCAAAGCAGAAATGTTATTTTTTTCTAAAGAAACAAAACATAGACAAAACTCATAACTACTAATTTAATAGTTAACATTATTGTTGAATATTTGATTACATCACAAATAGCAAATTAAGTATAGTAGGGAGCTTCTTAATGTGGTAGCAATGGCTTTTGCAAGTGTTTTCTATCATTTTATCTTAGAGTCAAATAATGGTTTAGTCTGTGGGACAAGATTTCAGGGATTACATCCCACTCTACTGCTATTTGAAAATGCTTCCATGATACTTAATGAAAAAGTGCTTCAGATCTCATTCTAATTCAGTAACTGTTCAAAACTTCAAATGCTATTTCTTTCTCTAAGGATCAAAAATTGTAACCTATGCTCCTTTCAACATGTTTTCATTTCCTCTACCACATATACTCTCCTTACAAGACACCAATTCCAAGAGAACATAGATCATACCTGTATTTATCAACAGCATATAAAATCTAACCATTTTAGAATACTAAGTAAATACCAAATGACCTAACAACCTCCAAGGACAAAAAAAAAAAAAAATCCAGCTACTCTTTTAGGTCTTGCTCAATTCAATTTGGCAAACATTTTCTGATACCAATCATATCCCAAGTACTATGCCAGCCCCTGAAATTATGAGATGAATAAAAACAAAGAAATGACAGAATAACACAAAGACACAAAGCTATATATGAAGCTTTTCCTGTTTTGAAAAGATATAAGTGACGATAATTCTGCATGGTTATGATTTTGCCTTGTTCACTTGGCTAAGGAAGCTCATGGAACTATACTATCTTCCTCACCTTCAAAATTCTTCTCATAATTAAAATTCTATCTCCAAAAATACCTTCTTTTATAAAGTCCCTTCTGAACTATACCTTAAATTCCTTCCTCTGGATTCCTACATCAGGGTGCCTATCCTTCAATAATTGCTTCTATTTTCATTTTATTAGCTGTCTATATCTGTCACTATCTTATAAGCTTCTACAGGTTACACTATCCAAGAGGGTAGCCACTAGCTACAGGTGACAAATTAAACTACAATTAAACAAAGTTTAGAAATTCAGTCCCATATTCACACTGACTACATATCAAGTAGCCGTATGTGATTAGGGGCTTCTGCATTGTTCAACACAGTAATACAAAATATGTCTACCATTACAGAAAGTTCACCAGATATTACTGTGCTAATGGGCTAATATATCTTTGTACCCCTGCTCCTCAAGAGCTGTGCAAATACTCCACAAACAAATACATAGCCTTTCTTACCACTGAAGTCAAGAAAATGAAAGCTAGGCCCTACCAGTAGATAATTAGGAATGGGACGATAAGGATGAAGGTAGGAATGTATATATTCTATGTATAAAATGATCAAGACATCCAGTATTAACAGAAGATGAAAAGGCTATCCATTCTCAGTATGTGAAATGCTGGCAACAGTCTAAGACTACCTAAATAGAAATCAATGTGGTCACCCCTTTTACACTACCATAATTATTATCTCACAATGATGAACATTACTCTGGGCTCTTAGACAAAAATATTATTAAATTAAGTTAAAATACAATTTGCCTATTGATAAAGATCTAAAAGAATAAGGCTTTTATCAGTTTAAGAAAGTTATTATGCAAAAAATAAAAATAAAAAAACAAAAAACCTCTAAAAAACCTCAAAAACCAAAAACCAGAAAGTTATTATGACAGGACACCTGAGTGGCTAAGTCACTTAAGTGTCCAACCCTTGATTTCAGTTCAGGTCATGATCTTACAGTTCATGAAATTGAGCCTTGTGCTGGGCCCTGCACTGACAGCCTGAAGACTGGGATTCTCTCTCTTCCTCTCTTTCTACCCTTCCCCTGCTTGTATGAGCTCATACTCTCTCTCTCAAAATAATAAACATTTTTTTAAATTTTTTTAAATTTATTATTTCTAGGAGAGAGAAAGAGTAAGCAGGGGAGGGTCAGAGAGAGAGGGAGTCACAGACTGAAACAGGCTCCAGGCTCTGAGCTGGTAGTCAGCACAGAGCCTGACGTGGGGCTTGAACCCATGAACCGCAAGATCATGACCTAAGTGAAAGTCGGACGCTTAACCGACTAAGCCACCCAGGAGCCCCAATAAACTTTTTTTTTTAAAAAGCTATTGTTACAATTAAAAACAGTGTTTGTCATTTGTCTTCAAGATACACAAGTACGCAGCATGAGAATTCATATTCAATCACTGTGCCAGGGGAAAAGCAACTATTAAATGATTAAAGATACTCAAATGGGAAATTATGTAACTATGCTTTGAGTCTTACAGCAGTTAAAAGACAAATAATTTAAAATTTCAAAAAAAAAAAAAAGGAAGACCCAGAATACAGAAGCTCTGAAAATTAATGGGGCATATTGTATGTGAATTACAGAGAACTATTCTTGAAATCAGTAAAACTATAAGGGGACATTAATCAGTATTTTATATGTTTGGCTTCTGGCAAGTAAAAATAAAGAATGATTAAAGCAAAATTTTCTAGACCAAAAAAACCTAAAATAATGTTTTCTCTACTTGTATTTTATTTAGATTTTTCCTGGAAACTTAAATAATTGTGAAAAAACGGATTATAACTTATGAAAAGTTATTTTGTTATCCATTCTTAATTTATAGACCTCATACAGCATTTAGGTGGGAAAAATCATTTCATAAGGGAATTCTGGAAAAATAAATTTTATAAAACTTTAATGACTTTTCATAAACTAGAAACTACTCCGTAACATTTAAACATTTTTTTAATGTTTATTTTTGAGAGACAGAGAGAGACCGAGCATGAGCAGGGGAGGGGCAGGGAAAGAGAGAGGCACAGAATCTAAAGCAGGCTCCAGGCTCTAGGCTGTCCACACACAGCCCGATGTAGGGCTCGAACCCATGAGCTGTGAGATCATGACCTGAGCCTAAGTCAGAAGCTCAACCGACTGAGAATCCAGATGCCCCTACTCAGTAACATTTTAGACAAATATTTTACATAGATAGCTAGGGACAGCAACATTCATAGCCCATTATAAAGGAAATCTGTGCATTCCAAACTACTAAAAGCAAATTGAATTTATTTTGAAACACTCTGAAACTTCTCCTGGAGGGGGTATTAGATGAGGGAATATGAACATTTAAAGGTAAAAAAAAATTCCTAATGTGACTAAGGAGGCATTAAGACAAGTGGCAAGATAGAAACAGAAATCAGATTGCTCTATATTCTGCAAATCAAGGACAACTTTTTTTTAAAGTTTTTTTTTAATATTTTTATATATTTCTAGGAGAGAGAGACAGTGTGAGCAGGGGAGGGTCAGAGAGAGAGGGAGATACAGACTCTGAAATAGGCTCAAGGACAACTTTATTCACTCAAATACATAATGAATTAAATCTTATTAGATTTTTAGAAAATTTGTCAGGAAGCATGTCATGATTTTACTTCAGAAGACAGAAAATGAATCTTAAAGTCAAATAAACAATGATTACTACAAATATGCTTCACTTTAGTTTTAAGAAAAAGGCAAAAGATATATATCTCACATTTTAAAATACGGTAACATTCCCTACTGCCACAGAATCATGAAGAAAATGGTGCGCATCAATAAGGTGAAGGTTTGGTAGGAGGCAGAGTGAGCTGGGCATGTGTGGTTAAATCTCTCACAGTCAGTCCTTCAGAGTCACATGTGAATTATGGAAATATCCTTCATTACTACCCAAGAAGGTTATGGGGATAAAGAAAGATTACAACAATAAAAATGCTTTAAAATATGTAAAACCCTATTATTTTGTGGTATGAATACATACCTAATCCTAATATGATCTATACCTTCTTATAACTCACATATTTTAATTGTCTAACCTCATAACTACACAAAGGAAAGAATAGCTAATCCTTTATAATTTAAGAAATTCAAGACAACCTAAGTCCCATTCAAGCTGTATTCAAAAGGAAACATAATTGTGAAGATTGATTAGTAAGGTTGAGTAATATTTGAAAAGGGATATTAACAATTGGTTAAATAAGCCACAAAGACCCTCTTTATCATCATTTCCTTCCTTTTGATAAACATTACTTTTTTAAATCTGTCAGCTTGCTTAATAAACACATGAAACTCACTGGTCTCACCATGTTTCCTTGAGAGAGAAGTATTTCAGACATTAGGCATTCATGAAATGATAAATGTGAAATAAACAGTAAATTTCTCATACTAGGGAAAAAACTTTAAGCACAATTACTTCAATATATATGACATACCAGTTTAAGTCAAGTATGCCAATATGACATTATTTCAAGCACTGAAAAACGTTTATAATAATGATTTCCAAAGTCAAATCTCAGTAGACAAATACAGGTTACATATCTTCATTATGAGCTGGTGAATAAATTTACTTTTTCTGCCAACTAACATTTTCTTGTTGCCACATTCTGATAGAGTATACTTTTTTTTCAGTTTTGACTTCAGATATAGATCTTAAGAAAAAAATGTGCAATCACAAAAACTTAAAATATTATTAAAAAAATATTAAGTGATAAAAATATAAAACATTCATAATTACTAATGTCATCTTTGCTAATGAATCATCAAACCTGGAGGTGATCTTGAGGACTCATATCCCTACTGATGTATATGAACACTTCATATACTGGACCAAGGGACACAAATATGTATGTAATTAGGAGAATTATCACATTATATTTGCATAGAACTTTACAGTTTTTATATAATAACAATTATTATAATTACTGATTATTATGTATATTATGTATATTATTTTACTTTCCACAATAACCCTGTAAAATTTGCTATTTTCTCAGCCAATAATTCCTGTCCTCTTTACATGTAAATGATGAAGTACTTTTAAAGTTCAATTAAGTCAGGGTAAGCACATGTGCAAACAGAATTTGGATAAGGATTTCCTTAAGTAATATATTGGTTAGTATTATGTATATTATAAGGATCCTGAGAAACTGAGTCTTTATCAAGCAAATACCAGATGCAACACACAAACAAATTCTCAATCACCTCTTGCTTAAGGCGTTTCTTCAATTTAAGTATTTCAAACCCTGGGCTGGGAAGGCAGGGCTGTTTTAACCTATCTAGACTGCCCTAGGATGTGACTTTACCTTTTGAAAGTACATTCTTCTTCAGAAGATGCTATTGCTATACTGGTTAAATTAATCCTTCAGAATGATGTGAGAATTCTGGTCAACACTACAGTGTTTTACCTTATCGGCCTGACGCATATAGCAGTAGAGAATTCCTCTCATACATTTTATAGCCGAGTGCTCCAGCTCATGGGTCCTTCCCTTGTCATCATCAATGCGCCTGGGTAAGAGAGATAACTCATGAAACAAATTGGAAATGCATTTGAAAAGGAAGCAGAGCTTTCGGTAATTAAGTATTTAACTATCTGACTAATCCTATGTTCTGGCCACATCTACTAATTCTGAAACAGTGAAACTCCATTTTCCCAGCAGATGCAGAAATGCTGCAATAAAAAAAAATTCTATGATGAAACTTGTGTTTATTTCTCCTTCTTTTAAGGAAGTAAGCCAATTGCTTCAAAATAAGATACAATATTTCTATACTGACTTGGCTAAAGCTTTAAACGATATTCTATACTGGAAAAATCTACTGAAAGACTTTTTTTAAGTTTGCTGTTACAGAGTAGAGGTGATTTTTAACACCAATCCCTTTGGGATACGCAATGGTTAGATTCAAGGCAACACAGATTAGTGTAGGCACATGCCTTCTTGCTCTACCATTTGTTTAATAATGTCAAGGTGGGCACGTTAGACAAAGATTCCTTTTAAAAAAACACATCCAGTATGATACATCATGTTTTTGGGAAGTTTTATACTCTTGGGTCTTAGTTTAAAATCAATCCAACATTGTTTCTATCTCTTGCTTTAAAAAAAAAAAAAGTTAAAATATAACTATTTAGCAAGGTTACGATGTTTTTCTACCCTTAGGTTCCTTTTTTACCATGGATCAAAAGGTAGATGACAGTTACCCACAACTGAAAAATGAAAATAACATTCATCGTTCCACTAAATCTTAACTAAAATACCTGGCAATCATCCTCCCTTGGTAAAACGTATCACCTGTCTCCTTCAAAAGTAGACTACAATTTCTTCCTATTCTAACTGTGGATCTCATATACCACTATGAGAAAGAAGAACGATCATTTTAACATAGCACTGTCAACGGCAGACAAAAGTAAGTTGCCATTAGAATGTCATTCCTCCCTTCAAATGCAGGTACTGCAGTAAAACTACCATGATTTTGCTCTATGCTCTATTTTTCTGTCGAATGTCCAACATAAGTGTTTTAAATAGACGCAAATTATGGCAAAGGTAACAGTGGACCAGGCATCGATATATGAGAAACAACATACTTTGGGTAGAATAAACTCAATGAAATCTGTGTCCAATTCCTACTCCATCTAAAAACTAAACTAAACTAAATTCAAGTTTTTCTAAAATTGTCATTTTTTTCTAAATTTATTTATTTTGAGAGAGAAAGAGGCAGAGAAAGAATCCCAAGGGGATTCCACACTGACATCCCCATTCAATGCAAGACTTCAACTCACGAACTCTGAGATCATGACCCGAGCCAAAATCAGGAGTCAGACAATTAACTGACTGAACCACCCAGGTTCCCCCTAAAATTGTCTTTAAAATAATTCTCTGCCCCCTAATTTCAATAAGCATTTAACCCAAACTAAAATATTCCAGAATAAATCAGTCACTAGAAAGTTCTTCTATTTTAATGAAGTTCCCCTATTTCTCCTTTCTTCTGCAAATAAAATAGAAACCAGAATATTTCACTTCTGACTGAGAAAATAAAAGAACAGGTGCATTTGAGCAAAAACAATTAGGCTGCCAGGATATATTTATTACCTTTTCAAAGATTTAAAGTGAATTTGAGGATCTGAAATAATTCCATTGTTTTCTACCAGGATCTAGAATATTCTGCTCTCTTTAAAAAGCTCTGTGGAGGTAGACTCAAGTTTTATTTATTAATTTTTTTTCTTAAATAGTTTATTGTCATGTTGGTTTCCATAAAACACCCAGTACTCATCCCAACAAGTGCCCTCCCCCCATGCCTATCAGCCCTCAGTTTGTTCGGAGCAATCAAGAGTCTCTCATGGTTCGCCTCCCTCCCTCTCCCCAACTATTTTTCCCCTTCTTCTCCTCCATGGTCCTCCATTAAGTTCCTCCTAATCCACCTATATGTGCAAACATATGGCATCTGTTCTTCTCTGCCGGACTTATTTCGCTCAGTATAACACACTCAAGTTCCATCCATGTTGCTACACATGGCCAGATTTCATTCTTTCTCATTGCCATGTAGTATTCCATGGTATAGATAAACCACATCTTCTTGACCCATTTGTCCGCTGATGGCTCTTTCTATGTTTTGGCTATTGTTGAGAGTGCTGCTATGAACACTGGGGTACATGTGCCCCTATGCATCAGCACTCCTGTATCCCTTGGGTAAATTCCTAGCAGTGGGTAGACTCAAGTTTTAATATGATCTGAAGAATCCTTTTAATTCTAAAAAATGAATAAATGAAAGAACTTTAATCTGTGAATTTATTGATCATACACTTCAAAAATATGTCCTAAAAACAAGGACATTTGCCTATACAACAATATTATCATCACATCCAAGGAATTTAATATTGTTACTAAATTATCTAATATACATTGTATATAAAGTTTACCCAAATATACCCAAAATTTACATTTTAGGATTTATTTTTAATGTAGGATACAATAAAAAACTGCATTTGAATGTCATGCTTATTTTTTGTTGACTAATTTAACATTTTTTTCTTTTTTTTCAATGAAGTATAATTAGCATACAGTGTTATATTAGTTTCAGGTGTATAATATAATGAGTCAACAATATACATTACTCAATACACCTCAAGGTAAGTGTACTCTTGATCTCCTTTATCTATTTCACCTATCCCTCTGTCCACCGACTTCCTCTCTGGCAAATACCAGTTTGTTACCTCCATTTAAGAGTATGGTTTTTTTCTGAGGACTGATGGATGTGGGGAGGAGGGGGGGATGGGCATGGAGGAGGACACTTGTGGGGATGAGCACTGAGTGTTATGTGGAAACTAATTTGACAATAAACTATTTGTAAAAAAAAAAAAAAAAAAGAGTATGTTTTTTTTGTTGGCCTATTTTTTTTGTTCATTTATTTCTTCGGTTTCTTAAATTCTGCATATGAATAAAATCATACAGAGTTTGCATTTTACCCTCCACATCCCTCCATGTTACTAAATAGCAAGTTTTCATTCTTTTTATGGCTGAGTAATATTCCTGTGTGTGTGTGTGTGTGTGTGTGTGTGTGTGTAGGTCTGTGTCAACACACATACTACATCTTCTTTAACCATTTATCAATGAATAGGCACTTGGATGGTTTCTATACCTAGACTATTGTAAATAATGCTACAAAAACACTGGGGTGCATATATCTTATTGAGATTTTTTTTTCATTTTCTTTGGATGGATACCAAGAAGAATTACTGGATGATATGTTAATTCCATTTTTACATTTTTGAGGAACCTTCACAATGTTTTTCACAGTAGCTGCACCAATTTGCATTCCCACCAATAGCATACAAGGGTTCCCTTTTGTGTACATCCTTTCCAACAATTATTATTTCTTGTGATTTTGATTTTAGCCATTCTGAGAGGTGTAAAGTGATCTCATTTTGGTTTTAATTTGCATTTCCCTGATGATTAGGGACGCTGACCTTTTCATGTCTCTGTTGGCCATGTGTAGGTCTTCTTTAGAAAAATATCCATTCCAGTCCTCTGCCCATTTTTTAATTGAACTATTATGGTTCTTGTGTGTTGAATTGTGTTAAGTTCTTTATGTATTTTGAATATTAACCCACTCTCAAACATATCACTTGCAAATATACTGTCCCACTCAGTAGGTTGCCTTTATGCCTTGTCACTGGTTTCCTTTGGTGTGCAAAAGGTTTTCAATTTGGTATAGTCTCAATAGTTTAATTTTCCTTTTGGTTCCCTTGCCTGAGGAGACATATCTAGAAAAATGTTGCTATGGCCATTGTTGAAAAATTTGTTGCCCATGTTTTTTTCCTAGGAGTTTTATGGTTTTGTGTCTCACATTTGGGTCTTTAATTCATTTGGAGTTTATTTTTGTGTACAGTGTAAGAAATTGGCCCAGTTTTATTCTTTTTGCATGTAGTTGTTTAGTTTCCCTGGAACCATTTATTGAAGAGACTGTCTTTTCCCAGTTGCACATTACTCCCTTTGTTGCAGATTAATTAATCATATAAGTGTGGATTTATTTCTAAACTTTCAATTCTGTTCCATTGATCTATATGACTATTGTTTTGACAGTGCCATACTGTTTTGATAACTTCTAGCTTTGTACTGTATCTGGCACTCTGCTATTGTGACACAGCCAGCTTAGTTCTTCCTTCTTAAGATTGCTTTGGCAATTTGGGGTCTTTTGTGGTTCCATACAAATTTTAGGATTATTTGTTCTAGTTCCAATGAAAACTGTTGCTGGTACTTTGATAGGAATTGCATTAGATCTGTAGATGCTCTGTGAAGTATGAAATTTGAACAACAACAGTTATCCTAATCCATAAACATGTAATATTTTTCCATTTGTTTCTGAGATTTTCAATTTCATGCAGCAATGTTTCATAGTTTTCACAGTACAGGTCACTGATCTCCTTGGTTAGGTTTATTCTTAGGACTTTTATTCTTCCCTGTGAAAATGTAAATGGGTGGTCTCCTTAATTTCTCTTGCTGCTACTCCACTGTTAGAGTATAGAAATTTGGGGCACCTGGGTGGCTCTGTCCATTAAATGTATGACTCTTGATTTTGATTCAGGTCATGATCTCATGGTTTGTGAGACTGAATACCACCTTTGGCTCTGCACTGTCAGCACAGAGCCCGCTTGAGTTCCTCTCTCCCTCTCGCTCTGCCCTCTCTCTCTCTCTGCCCCTCCCCTGCTCACACATGTGTGCTACGAATTGGTCTGTTCAAACCTTCTATTTCTCCTGCTTCAGTTTTGTTAGGCTATACACACCTAAGATACTTATAAATTTCTTCTAGGTTGTGCAATTTGTTGGCAGATAGTCTTTCAAAATATTCTCTTACAATCCTTTGTATTTCTGTGATATTAGTTCTTACTTCTTCATTTCTGATTTTGAGTCTTTTTTTTTGAGTGTGGCAAAAGATCTACCTATGTTGTTCATCTTTTCAAAGAACCACTTCCAGGTTTCATTAATCTTTCTACTCTGTTTTTAGACCGTTTCACT